CAGAGAGATAAATCGTTTGTTTGCAAAAAGGTTAAAAAAAAAAGAAGAAAAAAAAAAAAAAAAAAAAAAAAAAAAAAAAAAAACCCAAAAAAAATTGGGTCCCCCTGAAAGAAAAAAAAACCCGGCATGAGAAAAACCACGAAAATGGGTTAATTGAAAAAAAAAAAATAAAAATTAATGGAAAAGTCATTTCATTTGTTTTTAAATTTAAATTATTGAAAAAAAGGTTTAAGGATTTTATAAAAGGAAATTTTTATGCGGTAACTGGACCTTTTAAACACCTTTTAATCAAAACGCGATAAAACACGAGCAAAAATTGGATAGATTTTTTAAAAAACAATCGGATAAATACATTCAGTTATATTCCGCGGGAAAAGTTTTTCATTTTATCAATAATCTGCAAAAAATGTGTCCCTTTAAAAAATGATTAATCTACCAATATACGTTGACTTTTGAATTTGTGAATTAGATGGTATCGACGCTAGGAAATTTTCCTTGAAGTCAATAAAAAACTTAAAGCGACAAAGATAATGGGAATAGGAATCGAGAACGAGAATGAGAAATAAGAAAAGGACAGAGACAGGACGAGAGAGAGAAGGACGAGAGAGAAGAGGACGATAGAGAGAAGGACGAGAGAGAGAGGACGAGAGAGAGAGGACGAGAGAGAGAGGACGAGAGAGAGAGGACGAGAGAGAGAGGACGAGAGAGAGAAGGACGAGAGAGAGAGGACGAGAGAAAGAGGACGAGAGAGAGAGGGACGAGAAGAGAGAGGACGAGAGAGAGAGGAAGAGAGAGAGGACGAGAGAGAGAGGACGAGAGAGAGAGGACGAAGAGAGAGAAGGACGAGAGAGTAGAGGACGAGAGAGAGGAACGAGAGAGAGAGGACGAGAGAGAGAGGACGAGAGAGAGAGGACGAGAGAGAGACGAGAGAGAGGACGAGAGAGAGAGGACGAGAAGAGAGAGGACGAGAGAGAGAGGAACGAAGAAGAGAGAGGAACGAGAGAGAGAGGACGAGAGAGAGAGGACGAGAGAGAGCGGACTGAGAGAGAGAGGATGAGAGCAGAGAGGTACGGAGAGAGAGAGGACGCGAGAGAGAGGACGTCAGAGAGAGAGGAAGAGAGCAGAGAACGAGAGAGAGGACGAGAGACGCAGACACGGGACGAGAGAGGAGGAAGAGAGAAAGAGAGAGGACGAGGAGAAAGAAAGAGGACGAGAGAAAGAGAGGACGAGAGAAAGAGAGGACAGAGCAAAGAGAGCGGACGAGAGAAAGAGAGGACCGATGAAAAGAGAGGACACGAGAAAGAGAGGACGAGAGAAAGAGAGGACGAGAGAAAAGAATAGGACGAGAGAAAGAGAGGACGAGAGAGGAGCAGGACGAGAAAAAGCAGGACGAGAGAGAGAGACGAGAGGAGAGACGAGAGAGAGAGACGAGAGGAGAGGACGAGAGAGCAGAGGACGAAGAAAGAGAGGGGACGAGACGCAGAGGGGACGAGAGAGGGGACGAAAGAGAGAGGGGGACGCGAGGAGAGGCAGGGACGAGAGAGAGCGGACGAGAGAGAGGGACGAGCAGAGAGGGACGAGAGAGGGGACGAGAGAGAGGACGAGAGAAGAGGACGAGACAGGGGGACGAGAGAGAGGCGACGATTCGAGAGGGGCACGAGGACGAGAGGAGGACTGAGATGGAGAGGTCGGGAGCGAGAATGGAGGACGAGAACGGACGAGAAAGAACAACAAATGAGAGACGAGAATGAAAATTAAGTAATTCACGTACAAACATATTTTTCGTCATTCAATTCCCCGTTAAATCGTGTGCTGAGCCTACCAAACCATATTAATCTAAATTTAAAAAGAGCAACCAACTTAAGAATTATAGAATAAGATGCAAGCTACTCGACAACTGCAAAACGCATCACAATCCAGCCGCGCACGCATTAAATGTGGGCAGTATTGTGAAAGTTGTACATCAATTCCTCAGCAATAACTCATATTGTATATATTACATGATTCTCTCTCGTCCTCTCTCTCTCGTCCTCTCTCTCTCGTCCTCTCTCTCTCGTCCTCTCTCTCTCGTCCTTTCTCTCGTCCTTTTTCTTATTCTCATTCTCGTTCTCATTCCTATTCCCATTATCTTTGTCGCTTTAAGTTTTTTATTGGACTTCAAGGAAATTTCCTAGCGTCGATACAATCTAATTCACAAATCAAAAGTCAACGTATATTGGTAGATAATTCATTTTTTAAAGGGACACATTTTTGAGATATTGATAAAATGAAAACTTTTCCCGCGGATATAACTGAATTATTGTATCGATTGTTTTTAAAAAATCTATCAATTTTTGCTCGTGTTTTATCGGTTTGATTAAAAGGTGTTTAAAAGGTCAGTACCGCATAAATCCTTTTTATAAATCCTAACTTTTTCAATATTTAATTTAAAAACCAAATGAATGACTCATTATTTATCATTACCATCGTGTTTCTCATCCGTTTTTCTTCAGGACAATGTTTTTTCTTCTTACTTTTGCAACAAACGATTTGACAACAGTGTACGAAATTCTTCTATGAGAAAAACATATTCCATAAGAGTCTATTGTGCCTTCGCGACGTGAAAATGAGTGTTTTATAGGTCGAATTCAGTCGCAGTTTCGTTGAGATCGCTCTGATCGGTAGTTTTCCATGTCCTCTCGGATCAACACCAGGCGGATTCTGATGCATTACCCCAATAACCGGGCAATGAACCTCGCGCGATCTTTTCTCGTCCTTGTGCTATTCTTACCCCTTCCTTCCTTCCTTACACTTACATGCACTACACTGCCGCGCATGCTGGAAGACCGGTCGGGAGCTTAGAGCTCGACTCGACTGGGGCGGTGCCTCGCTCGTGGGACATACCTGGTAAGGGAAATCCCGCTACCCGGTAGGGAAGTTGGCGTCCCATCTCACCATCACCATCTAGTGAGGAAAGATCACCGCCCTCTCACGAGGGAAAAAGCATGCACTACACTTACGGGACTAAGTACCTTGTCTGTTGACGCGCCCGGAATTATCAATCGTCTGCACATCTCAGCCCATTGTCTCCTGCTGCTTGTGACTCGTTAGCCCCTTTGGCTTTTGGGGAGGTGTGGTGTCGGGAAAATGGCGCTTGCGTACCGGCACACATGCTCAGTCCAGAGACCACAGCGCGCACCCGGCCCCTTTCATACCAAATTCACACAGCATTTGAGTAGGGAGGCGACTGGGAAGCAATAGGGGAATTGCTCATGACGTAGGCGGGATTCGAACCCTCAGATCCTGCAAGATAAACACAAATTGACGTGACCCAATTGAGCGCAAATTAATACGTGCTCACATGTTTGCGGTTGTCTTCATGTTAACTTGTTTCTTGGTTATTCGTAGAAAGGATATACGTCTTAAAGTTAAAGAGCCTTCTAATTTCTAATTTTTTTATTGGTATTCAATCTTCTTATAAATAAAACAATGTCAAATTTATGATCGAGACGAACACAAAGCTGCTCTATACGTTCTAAAATGCATAAAGAACATAGAGTACACTCTTCAATACACTAGTCAATTCGAAATTATTTTTTCTCTGTACATCTCTTGATCTCATGACAGTTTTCTTCTACGCCATTGCCTTCGCCAGAAGTAATGTTATGAAAGAAGCAGCTAAAGAAAGAGCTTCCAGCGTTCCGGCACCTGTAACATTATCGTCATATAAATTAAGACTATTGTTTTTATAGTACCAAAAATATTTCATGTTTACGAAATAATTGGTTTAGCGGCGGTTTAGCTGTATGAACTTTGGAAAACCTTCATATTCTTCTAAATGGTAACCTACTGAATGAAAACATAAATCATAACCCCTCCCCTCTGTTAAAATTATTATTGGACACTACCCTCACATGATGCTCTTGCGCAATGGACAGAGCACCGCACCAGGGCCATTACCCTCCTCCTCTTCCACCCCTCAGTCCGCTAAACCGTTAGGCCCCAACCCACGTAGTCCAAGCTTTGTATCTTCCAAACAGCAGGTAAGGAACAGATCAACGTACAATTAATGGTTTTTGTTACAATATTTTACGTGTTTATTTCATTGACTTTCTTGCATAGATTTACAAAATTACTCTAATACTAGTAAACGATTTAGCAAAGCGCCCCCTTGTTTCTTTCATTTCTTAAATGTTTTAAAAATAAAAATTATGAATTATTTAACCATGTATTATTGGTATTGGTATTTTTATAGATATGTTTTTCTAATGCATGTTTTGTGCAACACAACTGACCTATTTGTACATGTTGAAAACGTTATCTATCATGGAAGTATTGAGCAAATCGGGAGAAGAATCAAATGTAGTTGTAGATCTTGGGCCATCATTTTTGGAACAAATTGAGAATGATCTTACATTAGGATTAGAGAGTAATTCAAAAGAACAGCTTTTAGGTGATCTTTTATGTGCATTTTTGTGTATGTTCGCAAAGAAAGCGTGTAAAATTTTGTTGTACTACATTCTAACTACAGTAATCCCTCAGCATCAGGTTCCCCAAAAAAACGTCACTAATGTTAAATCCATGAATGTTTTATTGAAGAAAGATGAGTAAGGTTTCTGGATATCAAAAAATTGTTTAAAATGAAAGAAAAAATCTGACAAACAATTGCAATAGATCTAAGTAAGTACTACAACAATCAGAATTCACAATTAGCAAACCAATATTATTTTGAAGTTGAACGTGATCGGATACAGATTTTGCTTATGTTTCATCGATCTCCTCATTGCCTTAACCTCCAAATATGAAAGAGTTCCTGCTTCAATTTCTCTCTTAAATTTCAAAGTATTATCAAAGTTCGGTTCTCATTTGAGTGTCCTCCACAAGAGAATAATCAATTTCTAGAACGTCACAGCTTTTACACTGATGTTGCTGCAGATTCGCCTCCATTACTTTTAGTAATAGTGAACTAGTGAAATGTCCGTTCTTTATCACCACGTTGGGAGAGGTTTTCTTCACATGATTTCCCAAAGCTCCTCTCTAGTGAGTAAAGATTGGCAAAGATCCTGAATGGATTTTCTGTTTATGACGAAAAATCCCGTACCTCCAGTTTGGCGCAACTGAATTGAATTACTTTACAGTTGGGACTTTTTAACTGCTGAATTACTTCTAACTTGACATTTTTGTAGATTGTAATGCTTTGAGTCGTATTCCCAGATGACGCTTTTGAAGAAATTGAAATTCGCTTTCTTTTGAAGAAAAATGCAGTACTACCAAATGAAGCACTTGCGAATGTTGTAGTCGCGAATGACAAAACCGGTAGCGTTTCTCTTATCGGGAATGTTCGAAACTTGCGAATAGCGAATTCGCAATGTTGAGGGATTACTGTATTCGCATCATCCATATCTGCAAGTATTTTTTTTGGCGATTAAATTTTTAAAATTGCAATATTACCACTTTATATCCCGTATGGAGATAAAATGCAAGGTTATTGGATGTTGAAAATTTTTGAATGGAAGCATAACATTAGCTTCAATGATTCATTTATAAGTCTAATGGCAGATATTATAAGAACATATTTAAACAAATCTATGCACAGAATTTAAAATTTTCAACACATGAAATTACTTTTTAAACAGTTTAATACGTCAATGACGCCACATTCAGATAGTTGAAAAAATTACAAAGTTGAGCTTATTTTCTGGTGTATGTACAAAGTGACCTGTAATTTGACGCCCCTTTATCTTCGGCCTTCGGGGTGTATTCCCTTCATGCCTTCCTTAAGAGACATAATGTCAATATAATAAGTAAATAGATTTGTACTTACCACAAGATAAGTTGTCTGCAGAAGGCTTGTGTTTACCCTTGCAGGTACATACTCCCTCCTTACACTCCACTCTTTGATTGTCTCCATTTCTTTCAAGATAGCATACTTCTGTGTCTTTATTGCAACGAGCACCCAGTTCGTCTGTGTGTGAAAAAAGAAATACCTTATTTTTATGAACTAGAGGAAACATAAAGAAATGTGCAATTAGATATTGTTTTGCCCGCAAGGCTTGAAGTAATCACAAAGTTGAAATTCGCGTATTAATCTATATTTTTCTGCAATCTAAAAGTAGAGTCTTTTTAAAATATTTCTCATCAATTTTATGCCATATTTCAAACAAGAAAGTACATTTAAAAAATACAAATAACGAGCTATCTGAATGCTGACAGATTTAGAAAGAATTATGAATGCCTTAACTGAACTTAAGTTAGACTTCATTTATACTGGTATTTATAATTTATTCCTGGTAATTTATACGAGTATTACATTTGACGATGGATTAAATTAAGAGACCCAACATCTTTATTACCTTACGTCAACCAATTGCCAGTTGGTAATTTTGAATGGCACATGTCATTGTTTGAATGCAAAATATTTCGCGCATGTCTGTTCGAAATGCAAACAGCCTTGAAACCTGCTTTCGTTCGAAATTCATAATAAATCTAATTTGAAACATCTAAAATCGTACTACTTATTGTTTAAGCATTAGTGTTTTATCGGAACGAGATTTTCGTATTATATTTTAAAGAAAATAAAGTGCAGAAAGTCTTAATGACGAACCAAACATAAGGATTCAGTTGTCATCAATTACTCCCAATTTCAAATAAATTGGCGATAGTCAACAACAACAACAACAACAACATAAACACTACGTCACCAGACTTCAGTTTTTATCAGGTCAGTGACATTTGTTTCATGATTGTTTAATTAAAAATTAATTGTACCACTGACTTAAAGAAAACAGAACTTGTGTAGGGCGTAATTAAATTCTCATTAGTTACACGGAAGAGATTTCTAGAATTAATTCAATACATTCAAAGCAGTACTCTGTTAATATAGAGACGTTTTAGTTTTCATATATAGCACGACGTTTCGTTGTCAGATACGACCATCTCATCAAGTACAAGAATTCTTGAGGCAACGAAACCGCAGTTTTATGAAAGGTTAATTATTGTTACATGTTAAAACGCTTGAATATTGACACTTGTTCATTTATGTTAATCCAATTGGAAAAGAAAAATGTCCTGTCATGCTCACTGTAATGCAGACGAACTGAACTAAGGTTCAAGAGGTTGACGAACTAAACGTTCCTAGATGTCTCTCTTCCAATTCTTTCCGATTTACCTAAAAGAACGAGAATCAGAATTCAAATGTTTTTAATATGTGGTAATAATGAATTTGACATAAATCTCTATTTGGTTGTCTAAAACCTTATTCTAATTGTTGACGTGGTCGTATCACATCACGAAGTCATTATATA